TATAGATGTTTGTAAAAGGTGACTTAGAATCAAATGGACTTAGACTGTTACTCAAAAAGATTTGTCCAGATATCTACTAAAATACTCCAGTTGTTGAAACTTCGCACCTTGCCTAGGCAACCTGTTTCAGTGTGCTTCCTAATACTGAACTTAGGGGGTTTTTAGAGCAAATTAAAATTATTTTCCTTACCCTCCCCACCATGACCTTAGAGGACAGTTGATCTTCTACTATTTTGAACAATGTTTTGGATAATTTGATACTTCTGCAGTGTCCACCTCCATACATTTTCCCCTCCTCTCACCTCAGTTTAGTCCAATGTATGACAGTGAAATATTTCACGCTGTTCTCAGCAATGATGAATGCCCTCTGGCCCCAGATCCACAGGCACTGGTGTCACACTGAAGTGTAGTCTACACAAAAGAAATACTATTAAGTTCACCCAGTTTTGTCAGACTCTGCAGGCTCACATCCAAGTGGGGGTACTACAATCCCCCGAGAATCACAGTTAATTGTGTTGGTCCAGTGGTCCAGCTGTAGGCTGAAGTACACTAGTTCCAGTGGTGTACTCTCTTTCCAATGTCCCAAAGTACAAAGCTGTGTAAAATTGGGTGTAAAAGCAAGTGCCTTTTCACACCAGATATGTATCTGACTAAAATATTTAAAAAATATATAGAGAGAACAAAATTACTTTAGCTAAGCATTTCTAGTTAAAGAAGATGTTTTGAAAATCATCCCGCTTACTGCAGGAGGATGAATCAAAGCCTCTTGGTACTTTTAGTACTAGTGTTGTGATTTAACTCCAGCCAGCAGCCAAGCCCCACACAACCACTCTCTCACTCCGCCGCCAGTTCAGGGAGACAATCAGAAGGGTGAAAGCAAGAAAACTCATGGGTTGGGATAAACACAGTTTAATAGAGAAAGGAAAAGTCACACACACAAGCAAAGCAAAACAAGGCATTAATTCGCTGCTTCCCATGGGCAGGCAGGTGTTCAGGCATCCCCAGGAGAGCAGGGCCCCACCACATGTAAGGGTTACTTGGGAAGACAAACGTCATTACTCCAAATGTCCCCCCTGCTTCCTCCTTCTTCGCCCAGCTTTGTATCCTGAGCACGATGTCATATGTATGGAATATCCCTTTGGTCATCTGTCCTGGCTGTATTTCTTCCCAACCTCCCATGCACCCCCAATTGCCTCACTAGTGTGGCAGTATGAAAAGCAGAAAAGGCCTTGGCTCTGTGTAAGCCCTGCTCAGCAATAATAAAGACATCTTTATACTGTTGTGTTCAGCACAAGTCCAAAACATAGCCCCATACTAGCCACTGTGAAGAAAGTTAACTCCTCTGGACTTCTGATGCTGTGACTAGATCATAAAAACACTTTGTTCAAGGGCAACCTCACAGTCTTTGTTAAAATCTGGAACTTAAACCTTCTTACTGTAAGCTACAAACCTGGTCTGACATGTATCTAAGTGGATGCTCAGCCTGTATAGCAACATCCCATCTTCCAAGAGCTGCTTCTCAGTGTTTTCTCCTTGTCAGAACAGACAACGTAGATCACTTTCTACTCTTAAAAAAAAAAAAAAGAATGCAGAGTTTGACTTTAAGGTAGTACCATTTGATGCTGTTAAGATTCTGCCCCTTGTTTCTTATCCCACCATCTGTTTAGGAACTTCTTTGTACAGTAGATTTTAACAGTTTCCCTCTCCCCAGGTGGCACAGTACACAAGTTAAAATGTTGTCTTGGCTTTGCAACACCTTGCATATAGCACTTATTAAAATAATTGGCTTGTATGATATATGTCTTAGTCTTACGAAGTACATGCTTTTTAGGGGTGTCATCACCTGATGAGAGAGACCACATATGACATTAATACCCTGATGATGATTGCAGTAATAAATTGCTTGAACTGCCCAGTCTCTATCCCTTCCTCATTATTTACTGTCAGTTTTAGATTACCACATGTAACAGCTTGTACAAAATCCTGTATGAACAGACTGCTGAATACATTGCCAGTGGGTATTGCTGTCTGCAAGCTACATGCATTCCCACTGGAGCTCTGTACAGGGATGCTTGGGCACAGTGGGATTCTGTTTCATGATTTGATCTAAATAAGGTTGCTATTGTTACCACCAAATTTTTACCACGTGTGCTTTCAAAATATATGTAATTAATCCATATGTATTCTCTTGTTCTTACTGTGTTTTTGAACTAGCCTGGCTATGTTTTACTTCCTCAGTGGATCCATAATATAAATTTAAACAATTACTTTCATATTAATTCTGATATATGTTTTTCTTCCAGGCCGTTTCTGCTTTTATTGAAGCACTCGTTCTTGTGGAATGAGTAATAAAAAGCAAAAATTTGTCATCAGTATTAATGAATGGTATCTGTCATCAGTTTGCATTTTCAGGGTCTGGTAGCCATCGCACCAAAACAGCTGTTTTACTAAAGCTGTCAAGAATATTCTGGCATTATTCCTTCTCTTCTGCATGTCCCATGGTTCACACAGATAATATTTAGGCCTGCTCCATTCAGCTTTAAGAAAAAAAACAAAGCAAATAAAAAGTATGGGTTATGTGATTCCTCATCTCCATGTGAGTGCCAGGGAACAGTAAGAGACGGCTTCTTCCTGAGGAACAGGGTGTGCGATTCCAACACAGTAACCTGGCCAGCAGAGCAGGAACTGGCAGCTGGGCTCATCCTACCCCTGGCCAGGAGTGGGTCAGCCCTAGCCCTGGGCATGGGCACGTCCACATCCCTGGGGACAGGATGGACACAACTGGAGACTGGCCCTGCTGTGGTGTTGTTGGGGCAGGGACTGATGGTTCTGGAGGGTTGAAGTAGGGTCCTGAGCCATAGACAAGATGAGGCAGCCTCAGGGTGCTGGAGAGGGGTAGTGAGGCTTGGTGGTGCCCTCAGGACTTGACAGTGATGTCTGAATCCTCTTTTTACTACAGTACATATTAAGGTTAGAAAGAACTGGTTATAGGAAAAAGTGTACAAGAAAGAAAATGAAGTGGGCTCCAGTCAAGAGTGATCCAATAACATCCAGTGTTCCCAGACTTCATCATTTGACTCTACTGCCTCATTGCTCCCTTTGTATTTTTCCATATGTTTAAAATAGGAAACTATATATGCCCAGGCCAATTGTTTTCACCCTATGGGCACCTCCTGACCTGCAGAACATAGTCTCATTCCCACCCTTGTACCTAGTGGTTTTAAGTGACCACTGACCTTCTCTATGCCTTAAGACTTTGAACAGGGTAATGGGTATCACTGAATTCAGGGGGTGGAGCAGAATGCAGTTTGTGGAAATCTGAACCCTACTCATTCCTCTCTCAGGATTAACATTTCCTAGTTACTCTCCTAGTATGGTTATTTCAGATCTGTGCCATCCCAGCACTCAGTCATTCCCAGTTTTCCTCACGTACTTTGCCTTTAAGGAGTTTCAGAGCTCAGTATTCAAAATGGGTTTATATATACCAGTAAGTCATCTGACTACTGAAATGTTACTCTTTTCTTTCTTTCCTTTGGTATTTTATATATGAATCAAACCAACCTTCACAACCTTTTTTTTTTACCCTTATTTTGACCATTTTTCCAAGAGAAGTGAGTCTGGGAGTATCCTAGACCTGTTCATTCTGTTCCCTGTCTTCCAGGAAACGTAATGCTTGGGCTCTTCTTTTGTGCTTCATCTCCATCAGAAATAAAATTATATTAATATTATTAGAATATTTTCTTTGTCTACATGGTTGATAAAGTGAAATGAAGCAACTTCTCTTCCCTGTGTCTTACCCTATTAAAGCAAGCTTACCTAGGATTTGTCCTGTAATGTTTAACTAGTTCCAACAGTTTGGTTTACCTTAGTCACTGAAAAAGTATGAAATAAAACTTTTCTGTTCCTCAGACTCTAACTGATTTTTTCTTCCCAATTAACCTTCATTGTTAGGAGAGGAATCACTATCTTTTCCCTGCTGTGGTATCTTCTTCCAAATTCCAAGCAATTCTGTTATAAATGTATATTCTTCTCTAAATTGTCAGTAGTTCTCTTAGTATCTCACCCAATGAGAAAGCTTTGTCTTAACAATTGATACATAATGTCTGGACATGAATATTTCAGCCTTACAGTCTGAAAATCAGATCCCGTGGCAGCAGAGGAAATGTTGTTGCCTAAAGCAAAATGAATTTCAGTGTTTTAGGTCTGATTTCAAAGGTCTGATGGGGCTTTGCACTGCATTTCACTGTTAATAATGCAGGATATTTGCACACATAATATTTTCATAAGTTTGGAGGTAACAGAAATTGTAAGATGAGTGATAGTCTTCACTCACACAAAAAGTTTAAGTGAATCCCTTGCACTCTTACTTATTTAAGGACTTCTGCTGGGTGTTTTGGGGAGCAGCTAGGCTGTCTATCTCTACCACAAAAGTATCTGTCTTCTTTATGTGGCAGTTGTGATCTAATTTATTTAACATCTCTGATAATGTGCACAGGAAAACTGTGCTGAACAGTTGCAGAAATTAATTATTAATTAATTGGCTTGCAACCATCTAGCTGTTCACCAAGTACTATCTCCAGTACCTTTCATCATCATTTCTTTCATCTCATTGTTTTTTTCTTTCTTTGGCCTTCTAGTTTCTTACTATCACTTGTTCTATGTTGATTGAAATCACATTGTTAATTTTGGGTTCTCAGTGTTTCTTTAATAATCTTAGCGATTAATAATATGGAGGAGATTGACTACAACTTTTTCTTGGTGGGAAAAGGAGACCAAGAAAGAAAAATAGTGTAAGTTCTTGATCTGATTGATTTCTGAACATTTGCTGTGAAAATGGTCTTGCTCTGCAAAGCAAGTCAAGGGAAATGACATTATAGAAGGTTCATATAGCCTTTTGTTGCTTAGTTAATTTGAACTGTTTTTCATTGATCTAGTTCTCCAGCACTGCTTTCCTACTTATTTGCCTGTCTTTGAGCAGGTTTTGTTTGGGTTTTTTGCAGGTCAGAATTAGCTTCCTGCTGTGATGCAGTTCACAATTTTATTGCTTCTCAAAACAACAGCCCACTGGGAAGTAACATGAGTTATGAAGTGGACAGTAAAAAGACCATCCTCATTACAGAGGACATTTTTAAGATGCTGCCTGTGGTAAGAACTGTATCTTTACCTGTTACTATAATTGCAGTATCATATTTATATATTGGGCTAGTAATAGAGCTGCTTTGATTTCTCTGGAAAAGGCCCATCAAAGTGCATCTGTATGCACTTCTTTATTCACCTTGCAATATGTTTTTTTTTTTAGCCTTCCTCTGCCGTGGTGGAGGCCTGGACAGGGTATCATAGATAAGATTAAAGGCAGAGTTGCTGCAGAACACAAGCTATAGCCCAGCTTGGCAGCCAGCTGAATTCAGGAGTGAATATTCTGAAAATATTTGCCTTGCTTTTATCATTCCCATTTTTAAAGGCATTTCAGTCTGGAAGAACATTTCATATTCTTCATATACCCATGCCATTTCTGGTGCCGTCTTGGCATGTAATTTATGAAAGCTAAACACAATATACAATAGAATAAACACAATATAGAATAGAATAGAACACAATAGAACAGAATAGAATAATTTCAATTGGAAGGGACCTGCAACAGTCATCTAGTCCAACTGTCTGACCAATTCAGGGCTGACCAACTTAAAGCAAGCACTGAATAGCAGGGAGAAGAGATCGGCACCTTCCTCGACATTTCCCCTTCTCCCTTCCCCTCCTCCCTGCTCTCCTCTGTGGAGAGCAATGAGGCCCCTCAGCCTCCTTTTCTCCAAACTAGACAAGTCCTAAGTCCTCAGCTGCTCCTCATAGGAAATTTCTTCCAGCCCTTTTCACCAGCTTTGTTGGACACTGGGGTGAGGCATTTGCAGCCAAAAACACAGGTTGAGAGAAGGAATCAGACTTTGTAGCTCAGGACTTACAAAGACATACAAGATCTTGAGACTAGACAAAGAGGTTGTATTTAATTTCTCAAAACTAAGAGCACATGGGAGCCCTCTTACCCAGCTCCGGCATTCTTGGTTTGTGAGATCCCAGCTATCAGGAGTGTAGTTCTTCCTAATGCTGCTGTGAATCATTAAGGACTTCATTGCAGTATAGGTTACAGTGGTTCCAAATTTAAACTTAATGAAAGAGAACAGTAGTATTTTATGTGCACATATATGTGCTAAGCTAGCCAGAGTTGTCTGGCCTTTGTGTTCTCCTACTGTCTTTTCAGAATTGAACAAAATATTTGGACATGTTGTTTTGTAATATATTGCCAGGCAACATGATATTTGCTGCTTTCCCCACACTTTTTGTCTTGTTTGTAACAGTGTCCCATCCTTCTTCTCTTCAGGCAAGCTGATGAGAGAAGGAGGAAGGATAATGCTTTCCATAAGCAAGTCTTGACTCAATCTTACAACTGGCTTTAATTTCTGCAGTGAAAGTTACCCAGCTGTTGGCCTCTCTGTTGAATGTCAGTGCTCCCACAGCAGAAGGGGGTGAACAAGATGTACGAAAAGTTTCAGAGGCTGGGATAACAGCCAGCTATATCAATGTCAACTGAAATAGCCAACAATTTACATTCATTTGCTAGGTTGTGATTTGTGCTGGTTCTCAAGTGGATGCACTTAGCTCCCTCTCAGCTTCCCCATGGCAAGACAGCAAGCTGTAACAAGAAGAGGAGCAGAGAGATGAACAGCCACAAACAGTAACCTCGTCAGTGAGGCCTCACATTCATCATGACTTAAGCCAAGGCACATCATTATCCTTTTCAACATCTTCAGGTTCCCCTAATTTCATTTTTTTACTTCAAATGTAGTGTGTGATGACGCAAGTGCTGAGCATTTACAAAGTTCCCTTCTATTAGCTGAGAAAGTCAATGATTGTATGAAAGCCTGCAATCTGTTACAGTGCAAAGGAGAATGGGTAAAATTTCAGCTATCTTCAGTACAAGCTAGTTCCTTAGCTTTTCAAGCATTCAATTCGCCACTAGATAGTTTTTGTGTTAAGTGTATTTAAAAGATACCCAGTTTTAATAATCCAGTGTTATTCTCTCAAAGTTCTGATGACAGAAGTAGCAGTTCTCAGTCTGTTGGTGCCTGTTTTTCGCTCTTGGCTGTCAAGGTCTGCCAACCCTGTCTGCCTAAATGGTGAATGCTTTTACTGGGATTTACCAGATTAAACCTGCAGGAGCAAATTGACACAAAGAAACAATCAAAATATTTATAAGGCATTGTCTGTGTCTTTTTATTTGTTTGCAGTCCTCACCTCTTTCAGTCTATCCCTTCAAGACCTGTGCTGTGGTTGGAAATGGAGGCATTCTGAAAAATTCCAGCTGTGGAGCTGAAATAGATAGTTCTGACTTTGTGTTCAGGTAAGAGCTGCTTCATCTTGCTGAAGAGTGTTGAGTGTTTCTTAAAACTTGGCAGGCTTGGAAGCCTACCAATGCCAGTTTGTAGCAATGAGGAAGGATCTTAACAATTCTTTCTTTCTGCCTCTCTAAGGGTACTACTGCTTCATAGTTTTCAGAATGCTGCTTCTAATTAGAGAGGAGTCTATATGGATACATGTATGATCTGTAATTGCAAAGACACTTTGCAGTGATGTGAAATGTGATCATCTGAGAACCTGAAATTTCTGCTCATTTAGGATCCCTTAGGAGACTGGTATTAAATGCCACATGTTTACCTCTTGCTTAACAAAGGATTTACTGAGCCTTAGTTTGTCTCACTCATGTAATCATTTAACTGTCCTGATATTTGTCTCACCTTCTGTTAGTTATCTAAAAAATTAAGCATCTAAGTAGGTTTTTTTATCTCGCTGTATAGATTGGGAGAAAATCAGGTCTACTCAGAGCATTATTTGGCCCACACTATCAGTAGGAGTCACACTGTAGTTCCTACAAGGGAACAGAGTAACAGAAGGAAGGTTCCAATCTGCTGGATTTTGTTTCCTTTTCTTACTTTTGGCTACTATTTGGGCTTTTGAAAACTTTTTTTTAATAAAAGATCTTTCCAGTTAGATAACTGTCCTAATAAAAGTGGGAAATCTGCATTCTAAAATACTAAACTTACTAAGTGACCAACTTTAAAAAAATGCTGGTTTTGCATTTTACGGAAATCACTGTTTCTGCAATAAGGCAAGTTACACTGTTGTTAGAAGACACAGTAGAAGACTTTCAGTAGAAATGCATTGTTTAGACAAGAGGTATTTCCTAGCAGCTAGTGTAGAGTGTTCATAGACTGGATGCTTCTGGGATTTTAACTGTGCTCCTGGTTTGTTGTACGATTTATAAAAACCAGCTCTCTGTGCCCTATTTTAACCATCTGTACAGTAGATTAAATATTTCTACTAGGAGTGCTGTAAGCCTTATTTAATATTTGTAAAGTGCTTAGACATCCCTGGGAGCTGATGTGAAAGTGCCATTGCACAAGAGAGGAATTTGCAAATAAGAACTGTAAAGCATTTCTGGTGCACATCTGTTTAAGCAAATGTTTCTCAATTCCAGGTGTAACCTTCCTCCAACCACGGGAAGCATTAGCAAAGATGTTGGCAATAAAACAAACCTGGTGACTGTTAATCCAAGTATCATAGCTCAGAAGTGAGTACCACTGCAAATCTGTTTCTGTGCAATGGTGTATAATTGTTTGACATGATTTAAATTTTGTCGGAAATTCACTGGGATACCATCATAAGAGCAGTGCATGCAGATTACCTCATTAAGCCTTAGTTCCTGTGTAAGATATGTACTAGTCTAAACGGAAATCTGTTAAACCTGGCCTTATTTGTAGCAGAAAGGAGTCAGCAATACCCAGATTAGCAAGAACCTGACACAAGTCAACAATTTGTGGCAGAGTAAAACTGATGATTGTAAGGTCAAACCTTTTTTCCCCCATGACCCTCATGACCCCAAGCATTTAGAAAGGAATTGTAATCATAAATAGGTAAAGCCTGGAAATGTATGTCTGATTCTATCGGTAGGACTGTAAGCACATGTTCTTAGGTAAAGTGCTTAGAGGCTGTTTTGGTGAAGGCTGTTTCCTGAATGGAGGTCCAGTTTCTGTAATCCATTTTCTCAATCCATATGAAAGATGCTCTTTTTTCTCAGCAGAGGTTTTGGTGGGTTTTTTTCACCTTCTTGATGAAAAGAAAATCTAATAAGGCCAGGCTGACTAATCTGACATCCTCAGCAGGCTGGAACTGCAGCTTATCTATGAAAAGGACTGCTGTGGCATGTTATTTACTGCTTACTGATCTTACTGTATCTTATTGTATCTTATTGTCTGTCATAACTGTATTGCCAAAAAGACAACATCAGGCAAAGCTTTTTTTTTTCACCTTGAAAGGAAGAAGAAAAAAGTACAGTGATTAGATAGAAATGACTAACAGGCATTTTTCATTGATTCAGGGATAGAATTTCATTTTTTGGAATGAGTACTAACTACGTTAATGCTTACCTGGACCTTTTTTATTTAAATGAAGATGAATTATTGCTTTCCCAAAAATAGATTTAGCTCACTGATGTTAGCAGGGCTGCACAAGAACATGAGGAAGGAAAAGTGTCCAATGACTCAGCATCCTTGATGACTACTGACCTGATCCATGATTTGTCTGGGCTTGATCAAAGTGTTCTGCCACAAATGACCTCATTTTTTAGCCACATTAAGGCACAACAGGGTTAATAGGAGTTACACTGAAGATAATAGGAACTAAACCTGTGTAAGGGTGAAAAGAGATCATAAGAGGACTTCCGAATTTAAAAAAAATATTTATTTAAATATTCAGAGAAGACTGTAAATGCTTTGGAAGAAGGAGCAGGAAGCAACTTGGTACCGTTTAGCAGAACTAAGTTGGTTTCGTCTTTCAGAAGACCTATTCTGACATTATGCCCTGTAATTTCTAATTCTGTGTTTGCATACCAGGTTCATCTGATGTTATTATTGTTAAGGTTAATCAGCGTTTGAACTGTGTCTGTCAGGGTGTATGATGTAGGTGAACTCTCTTGGAGAAAAGCACAGTTCTAATGTGTCCTAATGCAGCTGGGCTACACTTCTCCTTACAGTGGCAGAGCTGGAAAGAAGGACAAGACAAAGTTGGGTTGTCCAGGTTTCTAGCTAAGGAAGAACAGACATGTGAGTTCTGTCCTGGGGGCCCTTTATGTACTTTACTCTAAGTAGAAATAGAGAAATTCTTGGAGTAGAGGCCAGAAATTCAGCCTTCAGCCACTTTTCCTAGACGTAGGCTCAGGTGTTTCTTGCTTGTTTTGGCTGTGTGACTCTTGCATGCACAGAGGCTCAGGGTCAACAGGAGGGCCTGAGTCTTTCTCATTCATTTTGTTTCAGAGTCTGGTGATAATGGCACTTTTCTGGGAAGCAGAAGCTGTAAGTTTAAACCCCTTCAGGCTGAGAAGGGCTGTATCACTCCTTGCACGAATTCAGTTGTGCAAGAGGTAACTGATAATTCCTCTGTGAGGGTTTTGAATGGAAATGGCAGTAGCTGCTGTCCTCTGTCTTGAAGTGCTGCATGAGAGGAGGGTTTGAACCTGCTCAAGTTGTGAAGGGAAGTGAAACCAATTTTTCCAGTTTCTGCTGGAGCCATTCGTGAAAAGTGAGCTCTGGTAGCCCTTAAAAAGTGAAAATACACTGCTCAAATAGACAACTCCCTGCAAAAGAGGACTGAGTGCTTTGAATCCCAAAGGCAGCACAAGTACAAGTTCAAGTGATTCAGAATAGTGAGATCTATAGAGGACATGAGTTGAGTGATGCCCTTTCTTGTATCACCTCTTGGATAACTTGTGAATTTCACTATTCAGTATTTGGGAGCACCAAATTTGAATTATACAGTAGTGAGAGCTAAGTCTCTTTGCTGTTGGGGACCAAAAGCAGCCAAGAATGAATGCTCTTCATTTGTGAAGTTACAGCTCTAAGTCTTTCTAGATCTCCATATGTTCCTTTGGTAGTCGAAGCATATAAACAGACATGCCTGTATTTTTAGCTATTTTAAGTGTATATCAAATGCAAGTAAAACACTACAAAACCTGAGCACACACTAATCTTTAACGCTCCAAGACTGCTCACATACATCCTTGTATTTCCACACAGGGCAGACACACAGATTCTGAAGAGATTATTTTATACCTATTGATGTAAGAAATATGCAGTACATATCTTAGTGCATGTAGGTTTAAATAGAGGAAGTATTAATACAGTATTTTTTTTTGGATTCTCCTTTGAAATTTCTTGAATCAATCAATTCTATAAACAGGTCCTAGTCACATTAGCAGTGATTTTGATCTGCATCAGTAGCTCCTGTGTTGCCAATTCAGTCCTGTGTAGTGTGTTCTTATTATACAATAGTCCAATTTTCATAACTGCACATATGACAACGTATAATAGGGTGATATAAATTTGCAGTATAGACAGGCTGAACTGGTGCAACAGAGTTCATAACTCGTTTATGCCAGTGCATTTGTGCTGTTTTGGTCTGTAATATTTATATCAATAGTACATTCCATTCCTAAAATGTTGTACTTTGCAGATACAACAAGCTAAACGAAAAGAAGACAGAATTTCTGGAAAACATTGCCGTCTATGGAGATGCTTTTCTTTTATTGCCAGCATTTTCCTTCAGAAGCAACACAGCCACTTCTTTTAAAGTATATCACACTCTGAAAGAGTTCAAAGCAACCCAAAGGGCAATATTTTTTCATCCCGCTTATCTGAAAAGTCTTGCCCAGTTCTGGAGAACTAAGGGTGTGAAAGCCTACCGGTTGTCATCTGGTTTTATGATCACTAGTGCTGCTCTTGAGCTATGTGAGAATGTGAAGCTCTATGGCTTCTGGCCTTTTTCAAAATCCACAGAGAAGATGCCAATCAGCCACCACTATTATGACAACCAACTGCCTAAACCGGGCTTCCATGCAATGCCCAAAGAATACAACCAGATCCTTCAGCTTCATGGCAAAGGCATTTTGAAGTTGCAGTTTGGTAAATGTGAATCAGACTAAAAAGGTAGGTCCTATTCTTATCACATAAAATGTCTTTATTTCTGTAATGAGTCAAGGGTCTGCTCTTTCTTAGAGAGACGTTTCTACCTTACACTCAATGAAAGTTGTGTTCCTAAATAAGTGAAAGTTTGGAGCTTTGTAAACAAATATGTATCACAGAGCTGAGAAATGTTTTCTAATTGTGAGCATTAGATGGGAAGCATAGCTAAATACAGATTATCCCCATAAATCACAGACAGTCAGTACTGTCACCTTATCTCAGATATATGTCTCTACCAACCTATGTTTGCTTTGGTATCAGTTCCCAGGAACCAGCCCCCTTTGAGAATCGCTTTATTAAAAACATTCACATATTGTGATCTACAAGAGAAGACACCTAATCCTGGCACAGCCTTTCCAGATGTATACAGAAAGCACAGTAAGGATTGAGATTGCTCCATGAAGGAGTAGCATGCATGTGGCCTTGTTCCCTCTTGTCAGGTAAAAATCAGAGCAGTGTGCTCTTGCATCCTGGGGCTGCAGAACAGTTTGTGGGCAGCAGTGAAGAAGCTGCTGTACAGTACAGCAGATCTTGCTGAGGATTTTACCTTGAGGCAGTTCAGAATCTGGGAATTTGAAATACAGGATGAAGTATCATTCTTTTTCCTCTGTCCTTTCTATCTGTCCCATCCCCCTTGGACCTCTGCCTTCTGTGTATTGCCTCAGAGAAATGCAGCACAGTCTGGCCTCTGACCTTGAGCCAGTTTACTGTGTACAGACTACAGATGACTCTGAAAAGATTTGTCAACGTTTTCAATCTTGATTTGCCCTGTTGACAAAATAAGACCAATTTGTATAAATACTTCTTCATCTTTTAAGCTAACTCAAAAATTCCTGAGCTCACAATACTGTTGTCAGATTTGCCTTTCAGAGAACTCCATTTTTCCAGGGGGTTCAAGTTAATATAACAGTAAGTGACGTGTACAATAGAACTGCCATTGTATAGAATATGCTTTAATTTTACTGATGTAATCCCATGACTGTATTACTCAAGCTAAATAAATTAAAATAACATCATCTTGTTCAAGCCAGAAATTTTAAGTTTAAAAGCTAAGGGCTTTTCTTCTGGCTAGATTCTGAAATGTATTTGAAAATATCCTTTGTTGATATCTAGAAAACATGCTACCAAAGATACATTCACACTTGGTTTATTGTCAGAGAATGCCAAGTTTTAAAATAGGAGATTGCTAGTACCAAGAAGGCACAATTTTATTCAGTTTCAGGGGTTTTTTTAAAAATGCAGAACTAAACTGCTCTCATAGATTATTGAAATAATATAAAACCTGTGAGAAGGGACCTAGAATCCATCTAGTGAATCCGCTCTCCTATTCTGTGGCAAGAGATTACCTAGGAGGAAGTAAATTGTATATGCATGCAGTTTCATGTGGCAAAGGTATGCTTTTTCACTTGTGAAAAGTTGCAGTATATCGGAAAGGTTAAGAAATACATAATGTATTTTTCTTAGTCACTAAGCTGTTAATACCCAACAGTTTCCATTTTATTTATTATTCCTATAATACAAATCCCTGGAGACATAACTGTGTAATTTTAATTGTAGTAACTATATCAGCTAAGAAAATGAAAGACAGCTCTTTAGAAATACTTACTCTAGAGAGAAGTAGATAGAAGCCACAAAAATGTTTAAGCATCTGTATCTGTTAATTAAATGCTGTCCAGACTGAAGATCACTTATGTGGCTAAATTTGCAAAATAAGCTGTAAAGGAAAAAAAATGCCACAAGAAAAATAAGTTGTGCTGCCCTAATTTACCCTTATATTTCCAAAGAGAAAACCAAAGAAATTAAATGCTTTCAGTATGAGCTACCATTCTGTTAGTATTATCAACTATTAGAGGTAATTGAAATTCTATAATGACGGTATTTCACTGAAGATAACCTTTTCTAAAAGTTGAACAATCTCCTTTCTCTTTTCAATTTCCCTTTTATGTTCTCCCTGCTCCATGTTCTTCCTATTACTGGGTATCCGAAGGTTCTTTACACCCCTGGGTGCCCATAGAAGGCTCAGGCAGAACTTTTCTCACATATTACTGGGTTTGTTGCTGTAAATAGGAAGTGAAGGAAGCTGCTCTGCTGCAAGCACCTATAGGGAGAGTATAAATGCATCCCAATGAATCATTTTTGGCAATATTGCTCCTAAACACCATCCTTGCCATTGAAAAGGTGAACTTTTCTTATTGGACAGGGAGAATTGCCATATGTTAGAGCCTTGTAGAGTCGCCCAACCTGGGAGATTCCATTTGCCTTAATATCTGCTCCTGCACATTTCTGATCATGTTCAACAGACATGTACATGGTTTCAGTACAGTAGGTGCATACCTATCACAAAGGGTGAAATGTAAAATGCAACATCAGCAAAATCTTGAAATGTAATTAAAATAATGGTCTTTATTATTTTGTATTAGATTACCAAATCATTTTTGCTATGGCCCTGCAGCTGAAGGAAGTCTTGTTTGTTCATTGGTTTAACCTGATAAGCCTGAAGGGCATGTCATTAGCTTCAAGTAAACATAGGTTCAAGGAGGGGAAATGACCTGATTCATATTTAAAAATAGAAAGAAAAATCTGATTAGAAAAATTGTCAGATGATAAATTAATCAGACTGGCATAAATTTGATTGCCCAGAAGCCTGGTTAAAATGCAGATTTTGTCTGACCAAGAATCCATCAAGTTTACTGTTTGCTAGAAAAAGACAGCAGGGAAGATAGGTATGTGGGTTTTTGACATACTGAACAGTAACATTAAACAGCTGCTGAGAGGAGTCAGTCAACAAAAAAACACACCAAAAGAAAGAATGAAACTGAGACCCTGAACCTGGGGAAGAAAAATATTGCTCAATTGTCTGAGCAGAAGGACTGAGGGAGGAGAGGCTGAGCAGAGGTGTGCTCATGCTTAGGAAGTAAGAACTGCTGAACCTTCGACTGTGTGAGTGTATCTTACCTGGAAAGTAAAAATTAGGTATGGGGCTTTTTAATTCCAACCAGACGATTAAATGCCATCTATTTCTGAGAGAGAGCAGCAGTGACTCCCTCCACTCAAGGTGGAACTAGCAGATCAGCATCCTGTAGAGCAGAGGGCTGCCTGCTTACTTGCACAGGAATTAAGATCAAAGAGGATTGTTTTGTTCCAAACTCTGTCAGCTTGTGATATTTTTTTAATCTTGAAATTTGCTGCAATCTAAGTAAGTGATAAATACAGTTATACATAACCTATTTATAACAGTAGAATACCAACATAAGCTTAAATTCTGCTGAAATTCTTTTATGCTTGTGGTGTCTCAGCGTAGCTAGAGAAATATGAACTGCCTCACAGTTCACTTCTAATTACTTTGAGAAAAATGATACCACATTTTAAAATAAGGACTCCTGTAGATTCCTGTCAGGCTGACAGATTTCAGCCTATCCTTGACTTCAGCAAATATTATCCAGCGTGAAATTATTAGATATATGTAATATTGAGAAGAAGGTCTTCCACAATAGCACCCATGCAGTGCAGCTTTTAAGCACACACTTTGCTCATGCATTCAGTGAACGAAGTTAAGCGTTAAGAATGTCAGTAATGAAACAAGTGGAGGTGGTTTGCTTCTGTTTCAATTAAAACCCACCAGAATAAAAAAATATAGATTAAATCAAATTAGAATTTATGTTAGATTTCAATTCAAATGAAAAAGTATTTACAAATCTCCAAGGGTTTTGTTTGGTTTTCCACAGCAGAACTATCCTGTTGAAGACACAAAATCATTTCAATCTTTAGCTAATTCAAAATATGATTAAGATACTATAATTTAGAATATCTCCATATTCAGATTAGCAGTGGATGTGTTCCCATGAAGATACTGGTTAGACCCAGCCTTGGTTAGCTTAGGAAGCCTGAAGAGGGTGATGCAGGTGGGGTAGGTGTGAGCAGTTCTGGGGTTATTCAAATGAAGGAACCCTCCTTCAGAAAGAGCAAGTGCTCAGGCTAGACCAGGCAGGAGAATTTTCTCTTACCCAGGAGAATTTTGTGAGCTGATGATTCTGTATAATAGATCTCAAAGACTCACAGTCTGAAATAAGGATGAAAAAGCATCCTTGCAGAGGGTGCAATGCATACACAGAAGATTAAGCTATTGGCTTATTTCAAGTATAGCAAGCAGTTTTTCTACTATACAAGGAATATCAATAACATATTTTATTGTTTTAATTCCAGGGTGATGATCCTAAGGAATACAGTTTCTGTGTATCTCAGCAGTTCTGTGTTGGATTTGATCTGATGTGATTTTGTGAGCATTAAACTGCATTATTACAATAGAAAAATATTTTACACTTGGAGAGAAAAGGTGGTGATTTTTTCACACAGTGACTGCTACATTTATGAATTTTGAGTAATCATTTTTAAAATACAAATAATGATTATTTGGAAAATTCTGAAACTCCTGGCTATTGGTTTAATTGTAGCAAAGCACAATCTCAGGATGGTGGCAACATGTGACATTCATCATGTTTTGCTTCTTAAAGGATCATTAAAGTATTTTGATATAGGATCTCTGGTTTTGTTGGTGGCTGCGTGAGTTGGCAGTGAACATTTTCAATTAAGAACTTGATCCTGTAAATACTGACATTTGTCTAATGCAAAAAGTGATGAGAAGAGCTACAAAGGAGTAATTAATTCAGAGCCATGTCATTCTTAGCTTGTCCAAGGCTTCACAGATGATAAAATCCCTCAGGTTAGAGATAGTCAAGTGGTTTATGGGCTTTCATTTTGTGGGCAATAGGTAATGCTGTGGATTTAATGGGCTTTCCTTTTGTGAGCAATAAATGATGCTGTGGATTTAATAGGATCATTCATGTGAGTGATGTTAATTTTGGGAACACATGTATGAAGGACCAGAGCTGTACAGTTATTTATAAACCACTCTTCTTACTTGTATTCCTGTCTAAGGTCCAGTTCAGCTCCAAATGAGGACAGTGAACTAAGTTTTATGCTACAACCCCCAGAGTCCTGGTAGGGCATGACTTTGCACATATTCCTGCCATCCCAGCTGTGTGTCTTGGCTGATACATGAGATGGAATTTTCATTAGAAAGATGATAGGTACCAAACCTTTAATTTCTTCTATTTCTTTTCACTTAGTATAGCTCTTATCAATATGCAACTACAGATAAGGAAACTGCAGTAAGCATTATTAGAAGAATGTTCCTCTTACAATCAACCCCAAGCTCTTCTCCTATACCAGGGCATATGAGAAAAGTGACTACGCTCACTTAATTTATAACCTATGAAGTTCTTGAGCTTTCAGTTTTCCATATGGTCCAAGTTAGGGTGCAGGACTCTCACCGCTGTGACCTGGGTTCGATTCCCAGCCCCCCGGGCAGATGGAGCTCGTTAGCCTTGTAAGGCAATCCATCTAAGAGAAGGTCACTCTAAACAAACCTACGTCCTGGGGACCTCACTGCCAATGTCCAAGCTTGCTTGGCCCCGGCAGATGAACCTCAGGATTAAAGGGTGGGCTCAGTTCAGCGCACACTGGGTCTCACCTAAAAAATCCACTGCACAGGCTCGAAGGGTCAATGACCTTTCCCAAATCTTCGCTCGCGAAGACTGGCCATTATATATATATGTATTATTTACATGTCGAGCAACATCCTGCAACAAAAGAAAGTGAATCACATTAACATTTGCAGGAGCTGTGACAAGCAGTTGTGCCCTAGCTGTGACTGCTTGTGTGTTACTGCTTATATGCTTGTATGTTCTACTGCAGGAAAAAGAAAAACAACAACCAACCAAGCAAACAAAAAAATTGTAATAACCAGATTCTGTTAAAAGAAGAGTTTCACTGAGTTTTTTTGAGTGTCCTTTGAATGCTCAGTTCAAAGATAGTGTCCTTCTCCTCCTTTTACAGCCAGATACTGTCAGGTATTTTATTTACTAAAACTCCTTTTACTAGTGCAGCATTAAATTCCAAATCAACTGATTTAAAGAGCTTTCAGTATTCCACTCCTTGAGGATTATATCTGCAAAATTATTCCCACTTAAATGAATTGAACTTTATAAAATAAGGTTAAAAAAAACCTTTTGAATTGATAGTTCATAAGAGCATTACTTTAGTGTTGTAATATTTGAAAGCTTACCTTGCAGCAGTTTTATAATCACGTAAACACTCCCAAAAGTATTAGAATCAATCATTATGGTTACAGGTCTGTTGGTTGAGACACATTCAGCATCTGGATCCATTTCCACGATAATGATATCATAATGATATCAGAAGCCTGTACTACTCCTACTCCAGCAGAAGTGTCCATAAATCCTGGTTGCAAATATCAGCAGTAAAGTCAATTTCCAAAAATAAGGGGTTTTAAAAAATATATAGTGCTTTGGGGCATTAACTGATGGCACTAATACACGTGTGAACCTCTGAATGTCAGTAGGGCTTTTAACAGAAACAAAATAGCAGAACTGAGTCGATGGGTCCATCTGCATTACCAGCTGGTGACTGAAAGAGGCGAGCACAATGGTTTGATTCACTCTGATCTAAGTTTTTTGTCATTTTCTGGCCACAGGCACCTGCTACTTATGTGTAGAGAGCTGGCTGCTGCAAGAACCTGTATCCATGTTATGAGCGTTATGGATGGTTGCCTACCGCAACATCCTAGTTATAGATCAGAGACAAATTTGTTCCCAGAAGAGCTCCTCCTATGCCATAAATCACTCACGTGGACTGCCCCTGAGTGTTTGTAACTGGAAGCTGTGCAGTGATGTAGTTGTCCTTTGGGTGATGCAAACAGCCCAGGTTGAGAAAAAATATGCCATATTTCATACAGAGAGACAAAGGCACACCTGTGTTCAGGTAAGGACTGTAGCTTATTCCAGTGCAGTGGGATGATCTTGGCTGTGTAGCAGCTACATGGTTTGTCTTGGGGAAAATTCATACATCTTTTAGAGGTTCTTGCATCTGTTGTATCCAGAACAGTTTCAAGTGGTGGATCAAGGGTTGGACTTGATGATCTCGGAGGTCCCTTCCAACCCAGCTGATTCTATGATTCTATGATTCTAAGTGCTCCATGTGTACGTAGAGATAATGCAAAGGGCATCATTTATTGCTCAGGCTAAATTCAATTAAATACTTGGCATGAGTAAAGGGACAAAACTTGCTTGTGTGAAGTTGGAGATAGGGAGAGGAGAAAGTGAAATTTATTTGCAGCAGAGACACTTGTTAGTTAGCACCATATTGCATTATCTCAGTGAATAAATCTAAATAGTGTACCATGACACACTATGAAGAGCTGTTACTGTGTGCCTGGACTATTTCTGTGCAGTTATGTTATTTAAAACACATATGTACTGGTAACTGGAAAGATTATTGGAATACATTTTAAGAGAAGTTTAGCCAAAAAGAAGAAACCTATTCTAGCTTCCTTGATGAGAAAAGATCTTAACTGAAGAAATGTGATGTAGCACTCAAATGAGAGCAAATGGAAAGCTCTGTAGCATGGACAGACACTTTGACTTTTTAGCACTGTTTCCACAGAATTTAAACTTGCCGTTGACCTGAAGACCTGATCTTTCATGCTCTCAAAGCCCTCAGTGATTTGTGTGGAGCATAGGACTGATAAGAAGTGCATGGAGGAATTGTTAGCCTTTCTTACCCTTTTCTACAGAATGCTCTTAACTCCTTTTAGAATAAAAATATGCCCTGTTGGGCTTTAGATTAAGAACCTCAGGCCTTGCTCCAGACATGAAGTTATTATGAGATATTAGTTGCATCCACTTTTCTCTACAAGAGTGCAGACCTTGTACTCAGCTTTATTATAGCTACTGGTGCTGTGTGCTTGGTGGCTGGGTCATGTTAATTTGTGCACAGACTGGAAAGCTAATAGTGGCATTTCTGTGTGACAGGGTAGAGTTAGATTGATCAAGACTTGCTAAAGTACACTCACTGTGGGAAATTATGTTTTCCTGGGTAGCTGAATAAATTATCTCTCATTTATTTTACATCTGTGCCAGGTTAATGTTGAATAAATGGATTTTGTATCTGGCTCAGAATGTTTATGACACTTTTGCAAGACTGAGCCAACTACAGTTTTGATTAAGGATTCTTGTCCAAAAGTTAGGAAGGACCTTTCAGTTCCCTCTATTTCACATGAGGAATATTCATTTTTAGGGTTTGTGGGCCTCCACTGCTGTCACATGCTGTGGAATGAATATTGAGATTAAATGGTTTTCTAAATATAGAGACACTGACAACATGCTAATAGTTCCATTGTACCTCTGCAGAGGCTGGCAGTGTCCTTGCACATGACTGCATCACAGCATTATTACATTAAAGCCTGATTGGCTGCTTTTATTCCTTCTCCCCTTAATCTCTAATGTTGCATCTTCCTTTAGGATCCAGTGCTGCCTTGAATTGGTTTCTTGTCTTTCCCCATGGAGTACTATTTAGTCCTGTTTAGTGTCTGTTAGGGAATTTGTGTGATTATGAATCAAATGCTGCTATGCTTGCAGCATAGTAAAACATACTTTAAGTGACTTGGTTTACACTTCAAGGAAGGCAACTTGGTGGGATATTCATGTTGCCTAACTGGAGGTGCTAAATTTGGTCTGTAGCTGCATGGTGACTTAAACTGTAATGCCTGGCTACACAGTCCAGTTCTCATTCTTGTGCTGCACCCCTTCCTTTGTGCTGTCTCTGGCTCTTGCCTGATCCTACACTCAGCTGTTGTGGCACACTGAGATGGCAAAACCCTAACATGGTAACAGAAAGAGAAAATTTGTTCATGCTAACAGAGCCAGAGGAATTCAGACTCAAAAGAAAGGAAGAGATGAGACCATGCAGGTGGGATCGTAGGAACACAACAGGGGCCATTTGTTATCTGACAGCTGTTGGGCAGGTCCAGTGGTTCCCTGAGAGCTTGGTCAAGTGCAGAAGTAAAAATCTCTGGGGGCCTTCCTGGTCAGAAGGGAGAGATGGGCTCTTGCAAGGGGGGATCGCAGCATGACAGCTGTTTTGGTGGGCAGGAGCCCGTCTCTCCCTGTGGTGCCAAAAGATGATGAAGGTACCTACACTAAGAACTCTAGGTGTCTACACTGCTTGATTATTGCTCCCCATTCTCTCTTTACAATTACAGTCATTTTAACAAGCTGTTCACCACAAAAAGATTCAGAAATGATAAGTATAAAAAATTCTCAGTTCACTGACGGTAAACTTATATAAACTTGCTTGTTATTCAGCATGCCTTTGCTATCAATCACTTCTAATCCTAGCATCTCAAACAGCATCTGCAGAGAACAGAGCTGCATGAGGTCTAGAGGGTTTGGGACCAGTTACTCTCACTTTGATTCTCTTTCCTTTGTACAGTAGTGAGATGACTGACCTTAGCACCATGCTTGAAACAAGATGAAATTCTCTGTCCTGTGTGATTTGAGAAAGGAAACTAAATTATCTAGGTGACCTAGAACCCTCTGTGGATCCCAAAATTAGTAGCAAAATATTCCTGCTGTTATGTATTATTTGATTTTGTTCAGCGCAAGTATCTGGATAAGTTAATTGGTCTGGGTTAATTGATCATGTACACCTTGAACCTGCACAGACTCTGTGATGGAGCTACAGCCTGACATAGCAATCTAGTTTTAAAAACATTTGACCTCGAGATCTTTTTTTGTCCTGTCACTTGCTGATCTGGGACAAATCTGTGGAGGGAGATCCTGAATATCCGTGCAGCAGCTTCTCCAGGGACTCTCAGGTCCACAAAGCACACATCCACTTGTGTACAGGAGTCTGTGTGAGATCAAGCCCAAGGAATATTCTCTGGAGTGCTTTATTCTGAAACAACTCAATGTAAAATAGCCGATAGCTGCTTGTTGCACACTCTGGAGCAGCAGACTTCTTGCACATGAGCCTTTTCAGTAAATGTATCTTAGTCTGAAATATTCAAAGCCAGGTAATCCTTCCTCTTGTGGTACTTCAGCAGCTGGTTTCTTTAATCTCTAGGTCTGCTAGCTAGCAACACTGACAAGGGGATGTGTATTTACCATAGAAACCCAACTCTCTTTATTTGGAATTCTGTCATTTTAGGCAAGAAAATTATCCCTCTCTGAGTTTCAAAGGCTGCTGATCTCTTAGGGTAGCATGGGGAAATCCATTAGGGTTTCCAGCTACAGCGTACAACAAGTGTGCGGATTTATATTTATTAAGCTTTGTTCCAGATTTTCATAAAGTGCTTCTTAATTGGCTCAAAATTATCATTATGATCAAGTAGAGCATGAAACACTCTGCAGCATGCCACTAAACAAAGGAACTATTGATATTATTTAGTGGTCTTCTTTCATAAATGAACATTTCACAGTACCTTCCTATTCTGGGAATGCCAGCTCACCAAGGGAATGACCCCGGGTTACTGGGTTATCGTGCACTGGTCCAGCTGCAGTAGCAGCCTGTGAGTATGCTCTTGGTGTCAAGCAAATTCCAGCAATACAAGAGCTTAATGTGGTAGGAGTTTCCTATAGACCAGGGAGTAAATGTAGTACTGTGGTGTGTGATAATTGAGCTCACATCATTCTGTGCACAAACAATAACTGCCCTTTTGTGGCAGGTGTTGGCAAATGCTAGTTTAAGGATGAAAAGAGTCTGGCTGTGCAATACAAGGAGGAGTGGCATCCTTGTGTTGCAATCAAATGAACAGTCAAGTCTGTCTCTTGCTAAATCCTGATGTACCTTCAGCAATACATCAGTGTTTGTTGCTACACCTAGTACTGCTGTGTCTCATCTTTTTTCATCCCTTTTCTCCAGTGAGGGAGAAAACTCACGATGCATGATGGAAGTATTTAATGATCCCACCATGAGTTCATGGTATCAAGGCAAGAGCCCATCGGAATGAATCATGCTAATGGTGGTGACAGGATAGCCTACTCTAAGACAATATTGCTGGTTTTAAATTCCTCACTATTCACTTTAGTCCCTGACAAGAGGAGATTCTTCACAGCAAGTCTGTAGTTCAACAACCTGCTAGGCTTCTCAGCTCTTGGATTGGCTGTGATGTTTCCCTAGAAACACCTCCTCCTTGGTGTATTTATTGTCAGTGCTTACAATGCAAACCCATTCTTAAATTCTTGTGACATTGAAGTATAACAACTAACATTTCTGCATGTTTTATATGCACATTTTATATAGTAGCTTCATATGTATTCTTCATGTTAATATTCTTGATATTCTTTTCTTTGAGTGCCTAATTAAAATTATTTTAAATATTCATTATATTTTATGCCACCAGAGTAAAGTGTGTGGGAAGTTACATAATGTCACCTAAAAAACAGTGATGCAAGCCAAAATAATTTTAAGGGTATCTGACTGATTTCTGGAGGAATATTTTCACTAGTCATTTGGACACTTGCTTCTTAGGTTTACCTTTCTAAGATGGGTCTAAGAGGCCACCTTTGCTTCTAATTTAGTTCAAGATCTGCAAGTGAGAAGACAGGTGAATGGTCCTGCACAGGGCTGCTCCTAAGGGATGGCAAATGTGTGGTTTTTCTTTTCAGAGACTGTTCCATGTGTTAAAATGTAATTCCATAAAGTTGTCATGATAGCTTTTGCCCAGAGGTTTCATTGTCTCTTAAAATGTGTATTGTTTGCATTCATTTTAGCTCCATTCTTTTCAGTGCAATTATCAAAGCAGAGCTTATTCCCCATGGAGCTGGTACAATTGTGCTCCTCCACACGCTCCAAGCTCTGTGTGAAGCTGCTAGTGTAGGCTCTGCTACTGCTGTTCCAAAAAGGTTCCTCAAATTCTCTCAGTGCTGAACTTAATTTATGTTTTCAGATGTGAACTTGATATTGTCCGAGTAGAATGTGTGCAGCGTAATATAGAAATGTCTCTGCACAGGGTTTAGGAGGAGGCAGGAGCCCCTCAGCCATGTGTGTGCTTTTATTACAGAAAACCAAGATAAAGTTGTATTGTTGAGTCATCTGTTACAGCTCATTTAATTTGTACTTTGTTTTCATGTTTTAAGTGCCTGATGATTTTTTGTCAAGGAGGCAATGGTTTCACTGTTATAACGCATACTTAGAATTCTGTACTTGTTACCTATTCTGTAATAGAATATTTTTGCAATTTCTGTTTGGAAATAAAGACTTATTAGGCATAATTGTGGGGGTGTTATTCTTTTGTGAACTCCTGTGACTAAACAATCAGAAATCAGTCTTCTGAGGCAGCAGCACAGAAAATGCATTAGTCTGATTCTTCTGCAGCAGTATTAGCAACTGACAGTAGGAAGGCAGACAGTTCCTTAAAATTGTGCAAGGAAAAAAGCAAACTGTGCTTAAAAGCAGGTATAGGGGAGGGGGTTGGGGCACTGGTGCGTGTATAAGTATCTGTTGCTTAAGTAATATCTCCATGTGATTTCAGTCTTTCCTGTTCTTGAATGGCAACACAGTTAACCATCTTCTCTTGTTACTTCAAATGACTTGAAATACTTTTCAGAAATTATTTATTGAAGAAAAATCAAATGAGGAAAGGAACCAAACAAATTTGAAAACTATCTCTAAAAATAACTGAACATTTTGAAAACAATGATTAATGGAAAATGTTAAAACCACTGATGCAAAAGTTTTTCATGCAAAATACCATGAATACATGTCTGATAGATGTGTATCTAGTAGATTTCTACACATGTTTTAGTGGCTTATGTGGGATTTTTTTCTTAATATAGGTTTTGGTCACATACACAGATACTTACAGTGAACGAATTTCAAACAGATAAAGTTCAGAGAAAGAATTTTCCCTCCAAGCACTTACTTTTTACTTTTGAACAGAAGGCAGCCGTATAACTTCTGTGCTACTTACTGCGACTTCTCCAAATAGAAGCTGACTGCCTCATTAAATCAGGTCAAATATGTACATGCAGCTGTTTTGTGAGGAGGACTATTATCCTTTAGGGCCCTCTAGGGACTGAGCTGCAATTGGCAAATTTTATTGCAGACGGAACAGAGGGTTAGAACTGAAAGCTTTTATTTGGCCTCACAGACAATCAAGTGACTTCTGCCCAAAGATTAAGATTGGATCTCTGTGGCCTCCCTCCTTCCCATAGTGTATGAGTCTTTTACAGATGATCAAAATCAAAAGGTTTCTTTTGTTTGTTGTGCTGACACCTGGAATTGCATATATAAGTGATGCAGATGCAAATGTGTGCTCATATTCAGAGCAGTTTCTAAAGCAGAAGTGTGATTTCTGCTGTGGAAAGTAGATGTCTTAGATTGAGCTTAGCCATCTCAAATATTTATGAACAGACAAATGTTGACAGAGCAGCACTGCCTGGTGATCAGAACTGCTTGGTCCAAATGCAGAATAACTGAGTGCTGCCCTAGACAAAGCGTTGCCTTTTCCTCATCTCTTGCTTAGAAGGGGAGCAGTCTGGGAAAAGGCAGCTGGGCAAGAGGAGAGTGGGAGGAAAGCCACTGTGTACTGAGGTTGTGCCTGTCAAGCAGTTGTTGTACCTCTGGATTACACCAAGCACAAACTGTTCTCCTAGAGGCAGAGCATCTCCCATCAAGATGGCACTCCTGCTGTGGAAACACATGGTCACTGGTGTTAGAAGGGCTTAAGAAGGAATGTTCCCATGAGCAACAATATTGTCCAAGACCAGGTTGGGTTTTCCTCTTGGCTCAAAATACTGTTAGGCAAAAAGTGTCATGTAAAGATGTTAAAACATGAGGGCACTGGGTTAGTCCAAGAGAAGAGAACGTCCAAACTCCACAAGTTGAAAGCCATGCAGTGGACTAGAGAAGCTGGAGTCACAACCACAGCACAGCCAGCAGCTGGAAAAATACACATATGGGCTGAGGAAGTCGTCAGAATTTTAAAAACTGAGGGGAGATTGCCTCCTTCTCACAAATCTCAGTATGCCCATGTTCAGGTTACTACATGTGCCTGGGTTTTGAGATACACAGCTAAGTTTTAGCTTGCTTCTCCCATCCTGTATCAAGTGTCTGTGTCATTCTCACTGCACCAGAGCAAATTAATAGTGAATAGGAATGTTAAGGCCTCATGGCCTCTGCAGACTGATAGATGGAACCATCTGGTTAATGGAGATACCATAATGAAAGCATTAGTTTTTAAGTATAGCAATGCAGATCTTTTATCACATAAGGGATAAAAGAGAGAGCCCACTGAGGACTGAATTTAAGCTGCTGTCTGTTTTCTACAGCCCAGGCAAGCAAAGCTGAATTATTCCACGAGCTCACATCCTACCACTGTTGTTGGAGGAAGAAATGCTGGATGTGCTGGGAAAAGATATAAGCATTAGAAATGGAATAACTTTCATCTTTGAAATTACTTTTATTAGGTAATTTGAGAGACTTGTAGGGCAAAAATAATCTGACTGAATTCTAAGTGCAGTTCTGCTTGTGTAACTCCAAACCTGCAGGGACATCTTTTTAGCTTTTAATCTTCTTTGTAAGGACAAACATTGCTCTGGTATTACATGTGTGGAGTTTTAATGGAGTAAAATCACTCAGAAAAGGTCCCTCAATTTGAACTGCCCCTCTAATACTGATACTTCCCCTTGAACAATATGCATTGTGCAAAACCTGCTGTGAGCCCAGGCAGGACCCTGAGAGTGGGCTGCAGC